ACACAGTATGAATGCAGAGTTAAAATCAATGTTCAGAAATGAAGCACATCAATGAAACAATCCAATCATGAAACCTCTATGTGGTGTGTGCAAGTGTGATTTAAAACTTAGGCAATGCACATGTATATGATACAGATAAGCATGCTATTCAGGTTACAAACTAATCACAAGAATTCAGTTAACAGAATTCACAAATAGACAACCAAGCAATCATGCATAAAATTGGTAAAAAATACCAAACTTAACCTATCAGAGAGTTTGAAATAATCTTACCAAACCACTATTGAAAAACAGTAACATATACCACCAATTCCTCCTATCGAGCAAGCCAGCCACAGTTCACTAGAATCACCCAATCTCAGTCAACAATATGCACAATACAAAATCACAGGAATCGGTATCGAATTCGAAAAACAAGATGCCAAAGAACAGTAATAGTTTCTGTTTAAACCTCAGAAGGCATATACAGATATATTACTGACAGAAACGAAAAAACCCCAAATCAGTGAAGGATATTCGAAACCCTAGACCTAAAGCTAGCTCTGATACCAGATGTTAGGAATTAATATAACATAATATAGAGCCGTTCTTTTTTTTCTTCTTCTTCATCCAATATCTTCCCCCAATCTTCACGGTAAAACCAGAATCCGTTTCTTCCCCACAATCAGTTTCTCATGAATGGAATCCCAAATCGTCTTTCAAATCAAACCCGAAATTAAAAAAAAATCCCAAATTCACACGAACCCTAATTCCCTGTTCATGAGAGCCATCTTATTACTAAATAATCCAGTATTATTTTTTGGAGAAGAAATGGTTATTGATGGAATATCAATGGAGTTAAGTTGTGGGGTGGGTGTTTCCATTGGGTTAGGGGTCCAGCCAATAGAAGAGTTTGAAAAGGGGTCCAACTTCCATCATTGCTTGCAAGAACTTTGCCGACTTTTTGGGCATGATTTTCATCCGCAATAGACGTCGGTAAATGTTTCCGACAATGGTAATGATACAAAGTTGTTTCATCACGATTTGAGGAGGGAAGTTCAATGTTGTTTTTTTATCATCATTGTTGTTAGTGCCAATTGTATGTGCAATTATGTGCTTGTTTGGTAGGAATTTTTTGAGAAAGAATTGATTTTTGAATAGTGATATGATAGGAAATGTGTGGTTGAAAAAGAAGAAAAAATTATTGATGTGATGGAAAATATTATTTTATTGAAAAATGTGGGTTGAAAATGAGAATTGATTTGATTTTTGAATAGTGATATGATGGGAAATGTGTGGTTGAAAAAGAAGAAAAAATTATTGATGTGATGGAAAATATTATTTTATTGAAGAATGTGTGGTTGAAAATGAGAATTGATTTACTGTAAAATTTGAGAATAAAAAACGACCAGGCCCTATATTTGCAATTATGCAACTTGTACAAAATGTGGTTTATAAAAGTGTGTTGACAAAATGATGTAACAAGATGTAGGTCATTGATTTTGAAAATTGTTTTTTAAATCATTGACCAAGATATTGCCAACACGTATTTTTGTAACATAACTTTGTACAAGTAGCAATTTGCTATTTTGGGTCTTTTTTTTTGGCATTTCTACTTGTTGGAAAACAAGTTGTTTTTCCAACATAGGATTTTCCAACCTGTCAATTTATAACACCGTCAGTTTTCACATAGGTTTTTCATCCGTCATGTAGATTTTTTTGCCCAGGTGGATAGATGAAATTGATACGAGTGATGAATGGATAACTTTGTTTAAATTTGGGTAACAATGAGTAATATTTTAATTTTGGGTGAGTAGTAACTAGAGGTAAATGTTGATGATTGATTTAGAGATGGCAAACGGCTGAGCGGCTCGTCTACTTGGCCGCTCGGCTCGTGAAAACATGAGCCACAAGTGAGCTCACCGAGCCCCATGAAAAATTAAAGAAAAAATAAAAAAAATGTGAAAAAGTAAAAAAAAAAAAATTCAAAAAGCTACGCTGCGGCTCGACTCGTGAGCTCACGAGCTCGTGGGCCGAGCCGAGCTCACCTACAAGCAAACGAGCCAGCTCGGCTCGTGAGCTCGTGGGTCCATTGCAATGACTAGATTGATTATTTAATTAACTCTAGAACTAACTTGCAATTGAGACACAAGTAGCATTCCAAGAAACTCCACAAATTGGGTAATGACACTAGCTTTGTTCATCTCATCAATTGGAGGTGAAACTTCGACATAAGGAATGGGTATATAAATGGAGTGCACTCAAATTTGCAGCAAAATTAATCCATAAAATCCAGTAATGACAACACAACAAGATTTTAAATAATGATGAAAAAAGGGAATTAATACAGCAGTGTGACATGAAACTCCAAAACCATAAAAATGGCTGCCAAACAGGGGCGGATCCAGCACCCGGCCAGCCCCCGCGGCCGCCCGTGCTGGATCCGTCGGAGCAATTTTTTTTTTACGATAAATAAATTTTCAGGTTATATGTTTGAAATGCATATCATTTTCAAACATGTTTTGTAGCTCAGTTGGTTAGAGGTAACATGTTTATGTTTTTGGTCCCGGGTTCGAATCCCTTCCCATGTAACTTATTTGAAAAATGTTTTTAATTATACTATTTTACTAAAATTAATGCAATATGGGAGCCTGGGAGGGCGTGGACGGGTTTCAAACCTGTGATCTCGTGCTAAAGTAAAAAAGACTTGACCATTATGGCACTTCTTAGTATTGACACTAACTTCAACAAAATAATATATGTTAGGTTGGTCTTGGTTTTAATACAATTATAATACTTGAACTCGTAATCTTTCATTTGAATTATGGAAACTTGGCCACAATGTCATTTAGTAAATACTATTTTTTCTAACATAATTATAATATTTAATATATTTAATTAGTTAACTTACTTTAATTTATTGCTTTTTTTATTTTGTTTCAATATTTTTTCTTTGACTAATTTATGAAGTAAATTTTTTGTGAATTTCTGAAGTAGAGAAATTGTGAATTAGTTAATTGGTAAATTTAGGAATTTGTTAATTGGGGAATTTGTGAATTGAAAGTTTTGGAAATTTGTTAATTGGGGAATTTAGAAATTTGTGATTTGTGATAAATTTGTGTTGAAAATGTGAAATTGAAACTACAAGTGGCAAGTGCAAGTGTTGAAAGGACATTCTCTATTATGAATATAATCAAGAGTGACTTGCGCAAGAAAATGAGGATGACTGGTTGAATGAGAATTTAGTAGTGTATATTGAGCGAGAAGTTTTTTTTAAAAACTTGATAATGAGACAATCTTGCAGTGCTTTCAAAATATGAGACCACGGAAATTCTAGTTATCTAAGCGTACAGTTACAAAGTGAAGTTGTATTACTTATTTTTATTTTGGGTTGTATTGGATTATATTTTTATATTACAGCATTGCTACGTTTTAGTGTATTTATATATTAATCAAACAATTTTTAATATTATTTAATTAATAATTAATTATCAATATCGTCATTCATGTCGTTACGGTCAACGATCAATGATCGTCGGCCGCCCGTGCGCAACTTCAGGGCTAGATTCGCCCCTGCTGCCCAAGCTATATATATACCCATCAAAAAATTAGGATATGTTATGGAAATTCATATTACAAAAAAAAATCCCTAAAAACTTGAACAAAGTAGGAATGGTTTTGGCGTTTTCTTCACCCATAGTTCGAGTCTTTAATGGTGTCGGTACCTTCCTCTGATGGTGGTGGCGATGTTAATCGATTGTGGGTTTTTACGAATCGTCATGCTTCATCAACATATATGGTTAATATTTTGTTATTTCAGCATAATGATATCTTTTCACCAAGTTTGAGCCTTTTTAGGGTATTAATTAGAGTTAATTTAAAGTATTAGTTAGGTGTATTATTTAATTTTGTTAGTCTTGGATTCTTTCCCTTAAATATTGAGAAAAAAATATATGAAAAAAAAAATGTTAAAAAGCATAAATACTATACCGAGCGCAATCAAAACCAATATTATTTATTCTCTCCCGCTGGGCGTAGCGGCGGAGCTCTCAAAACTCAAGAGCCCTGCAAAAAAAAAAAGAAGAAAAAAACCCTAATTCCTAGAATTCGATCGCAAAATAATCAATAATGTCTGCATTAGTTAGATCTCGAACGCGTATGTTCTCAATCAATTCGATAAATATCAACCGGTTTTCCTCTAGCGTCACCACAGGACCTTCGAAAGAATCAATCATCTCCTCTTCCAGAATCCTCAACGATCAGCCTCCGAGTTCTCCGACGCAGCCGCCTCCAGCCGCCAGAGCCGAGAAGAAGTCCTGGAACTTTCTTAAGTATGGCCTCATTGCTGCACTCACTGGCGGTGTTGCCACTGCAGGCTATGCCACCTACGGTTTGTATCCTTTCACCTCTTGGGTTGATTTCTAATTTTTCATCTCTTTTTGGAATCGATATAGTTATAGCGACTTTGTTTTTATCGAGTAATGCCATTCGCGTTTTGGTTCCATTATATTGATATAAATTCATTAGAAAAGTGATTTTTCAATTTTTATTATGATTCCGTATAGATGTATATTAATTGATATATTTTATATAGTTGTTGACCACCTGGGGAGAATTAGAACGAGTGTATTGAAACAGTGGAAAAGCGCTATTGTTGTTGACCTCGATTTTTGTATGGCCAACACATCCAGACCCACTCGTACACGTAAGCTCCGTTTCTAGGTACTTGGACAACAGTCAGTCATCTGTGGCCTTCTCCGGTGGTGGGAGGCAGCCGCGAGCACTCCCGTCTATTTAATCAACGGAATGAAATATAATGGGTGTGGAGGACACACATAATGCGCAAGCACAAAAGTGTTAAGAGCACCAAAAATATATCATAGAGAGAGAGAGAGACAGACAGACAGAGAGAGCTAGTTTATGATTTATACGTGTAAAGTTGTATTACCTTCAAATGGTGCAATGTGTGAGCTTTTATAGTAGTAGATGATAAATACTTACCGTTAGATGAGAAGATACGTGGTCTCATTTCGTGATCGAGGCGTCTCCTTCTACGTATCAATCCATTGACGGGCATTTAATGAGGTAATTAATGTTTTCTGAAAATTAGACTTAGGACTTGACCTTTAGAAGTCTGTTGCAAAGACGTCACATCAATCAATTATAAGATTTGTCCAAAAGATTTCCTTAAAAGAAATGGTATTAAAAGATGCTTTCTATCAGTTAAGAGGCTAGTCGCTTTGGACATGTTCATGGCAGCAGACGCAGCACCTCACCCCAAGGCACATTGGATGAAGTGATCAATCACCTCGGCATGGTCGCACCTTGGCCAGTGATGTAGAGTGTGGGCCTGGTTGACTTGTAATTGGCTGCCACATGGAGGTGATCTGGAACATCGGTGGAAGAGGCCTAACAACTAAAATTGGCACCATTAACCAGAAGTGTGTCTCATCTTAACATCTATGCAGTCGCATGATTGTTTCAGTATTCCATTTTGTAGAATGGTGTTTTAAAAAAGTCATTTCATTTTGAGTGGAAAGTCTACTTGTTTCGTGAGGCCTCCTCCATTCTATAAGAGATGCAAATTTTCAATTGAGGTTTTTTTTTTGTGGGGGTGTCTGCTCTGTGTGTGTGTGTGTGTGTGTTTCTATGCGCATGTCGCTGCGTGTGCTACCATAAGTAAGTGTGCTGTGTTCTGAAATCATCTAAAACGATTCTTAAGTTATTTGCCTGCTATTGTTAACCCAACATTCCAGTAAAAAGTTGAAAAATGTGACATTCCCTGATTTGCAGCATACTCGTTGGATGAAATTGATCATAAGACAAAGGCCTTCCGAGCATCTGCGAATCGCTCCATTGGAAATGCCTCATCTTCTTTTGACGTGAGTATGACAAAACTCCGGTACTTGTTTTGTGTGTAATTGTCAATAGAGCATCATGGAGAAGGAGGTGCTGTGAGAACTCTTTCATATCATTCCTAAAAAATTGTGCTGTCGTGATAAGTTTGCAGACATCATCCATAGGTGCATCACTCTGTTATATTTGCTTTATCATAAACTGCATTTTTGTGAGTGTTCGCTTTAACAATCTGTCTTGGTTCTAATTATTTTGAAAGTTCTGCTAAGTCCAGATGCATACATTCTCTTAGCTGTAGTATTGTTTGAAAGCAAGAAGGATTAACAACTTTCTGTTGCAAATTACGCAGACATTTCAAGCTTATTTGAGCTCTTCTGCAATGGCAGGTGGGATTCTTTTTTTTTTCTAACGTTGTCATTTTTTTTTCTCCGTACCATTTAGCTGGGTAAAGGATTTAAAACTTATTCATTGCCCCTTGTATATGAGTTATGATTATTTGACAGTTAGTCGCTGTAAGATTATTTGTCATCTTTCAAATGATAAACTTTACCAGTTTTTTATATTATTGCAGTTCCTGCTAAGTTGGTTGACCTTTACATTGACTGGAGAAGGTTAACTGAAGAACAAGTTCGAGTAAGTACCTCTTTACTTCTTTTACCCATTTATTTCACAATTTCAATGAATGCCTTTTTCTTTTATTTGTTAAATATCCTTGTCAAAATTTATTCAGTATCTTCTTGCTTCATCATAGAGTTTTACAGATCCAAATTCAGACAAGCTCCTGCCTGATGTGCACCCCTTGGAGCAGCATGTTTTTACCCTTGTTCTCGATTTAGACGAGACATTGGTATATAATGATTGGAAGGTATGACTCCCATGATCAATTATTTATTTATATTATTATTATTATTATTTTCATCTAACTTGTTTGGTTTAAGTTGTCACATCGGTGAATTTTTTCAGATTTCATATTTTGGCATATATGCTTTCATGCTTCAGTATTATAGCAAATAGTTATTCTGCATTCAAAACCTCTCTTCTTTCTAAAATACAATACGCTCTGTTTTTGTTTTGTTTGCGTTGTACAAATTTTAATTGATTGCAACTCGTGAATTTATCTTATTCTTCGTATTCCTCCCTTTGAAGCGAGAGCGGGGATGGAGAACATTTAAAAGACCTGGTGTAGATGCTTTTCTGGAGCATTTAGCTCAGTTTTATGAAATCGTAGTTTTTTCCGGCAAACCGAGTACGGTATGATTTTCCCTTATAGAAATTTGTTAGTTTCTTAACTAAGTATTTGCTAAACTGTCTGACATGGAATTTGCAGGATGTTGATCCGGTGGTTGACAGATTGGATCCAAAGAACTGTATCCGGTATAGACTTTCACGTGGAGCAACAAGATATGTTGATGGCAAACACTTTAGGGTAGGTCAACCCTGTTGCTTCTCAGAAAGTCTTATTTACTATGCCGTGCATATATTTTATAACACACATCATGTCTTGAAAGGAAATGCTGAAAATTGTAACTTATTCGCGGGAGTTAAAAATTAAAGGGATAAATTCATGGCTTACTAAGCAAATAAATACAAATGCAATGAAAATGATCCATTTCATCCCAAATAAAGGAATCAAGAAGAAACAGGAAGCATAACTTCTTCAGCTTCTAAAATTTGTCTGGCATCACTTCTAGTTGCTTTCCAGAAAACTATACTGTTATCTGGTTGAGTGTATCTTGATTGAATTTTAACTTCTATTTTCAAAATATATAATTAGTTTTTCACCAATAATGTATTGTAAGGATCCTACAGTTGTTTTCTGTTTGAAATACTATCAAATTTCTATATCTTTTGCACTAGTTTGGTATAAAAATTTCTGTCTAGAAACTTTATATGATTTGTACCACTTTTGGGTCTAAATTTATACATTTGTTTATAGAGTTTGCAAGTAATTACTTGATTTTTCTGCTTGTTTTCAAAGAATTGCCAAATATTAGATGCTTGTGCTTGTTTGTAGATTTGCTCGTGGATGAAAGCAAACTTCGGTATAAGGAAATACTTTCTGGAAATGTCGTTCCTTATTAAGTAAATGTGAATGCTATTTAAACCTTACTGGGATGTAGGGAGGGTAGAACCAGGAAAAAGATGAATGTTTTTTACTCATAAATATAAAATTTATAGCATAGACGGCGATTAAATATAATGAGAAATGCTACAAAAAAAACCAATTTAGTCTGCAAGGTAGGCAAGATATTTCGACTTTTGTAGATTAAGAAGCTTTCTTGATTCTTGGAAATCTAAACTGTGGATATACAATTATATAATTCTAAACAAAACCTGCAAGTGATTATAGAAGTATAAAATTGTGGTCATCACTTGCAAATTGTGAGGAAGAATACCTATTGATTTGGAAGTGAAGGATAATATCTGCAATGTTTTTATATGTTGAGAAAATGCTCCTTCCAAGAAGATTTGATCATCAACATGGGCCAGGGTAGGCTGTGATCCATCCAGTCTGCCAGGCTTTGCCAATCTGATCCGACCCATGGATTCAATCATTCATTCCAACCTGACTCTTGTATGCTGGTCTGTTCTTGGACCAGCCCATGAACAGTACTATCAGGACTGGTCCTAGCAGTTCACATGTTAAACAGGCCATTTTTATGTCTTCAGTATGCTGCTTTATGTTGCATCCTGGCAGCTGTAGTTGGTATGGGATGAAATTTTTTTGTATTCAACGCATTATTCCTAATGCAGGACCTCTCGATGCTGAATAGAGATCCCAAAAAGGTTCTTTATATTAGTGCTCATGCTCTAGAAGATAGCCTTCAATCAGAAAACTGTGTTTCAATAAAACCGTGGCAAGGCGAAGTAGAAGACACTGCACTTGTAGACCTTATTCCCTTCCTTGAATGTAAGAATTCTACTTGTACAGTTGTACTAGATTAATTTAATTAAGTGAAATTTAGTTCCTAACTAGCCATTCCTACTACAATTTTTGGTATTCATTGTTTGAGTGCAGATGTTGCTAAACACGCACCAGCTGATGTTCGAACTGTTCTAGCTTCTTATCAAGGACTCGATATTTCAAAAGAGTTCATAGAACGATCCAAAGAGCATCAAAGGTCATTGTCTTTAATTTATCAGTACACATTAATAAACTGTTTCTTTGTTGCCTATTATCTGGATTCAGTATTTCCATCTCTAGGAGCTGCTCAACTTTGGACAAAAAGAACAAATCACAATGCTTTTGGTTCTGTTCCAGAATCCATTTTTTGGGGGCTGGTCCTTCTTAAATTTGTTTTTGGTGTTGCCATTCTTTTCCTGTCTGTTGGGTAGTGTATTTACGAGTGCTAATCAGATAAATTTGTTGACCATCTCGATTAAAATAAGCTTGTTTGAAGAAGGGTGATGTTGGACTATTAAATATTGACTGTGATGCGAAAATTTCCTGGATGAAGAAAAATATTTCTCCTCTTTGCTTCTGATGACCTTCTTTTTCTTGGAAGTCTTGCATTTTCATATTGGTGGTCATTTCAAACCAGTATTCTAATTGTTAAGCTCACAATACCCTGTTCCAAGTAGGAACAGATTTTCTCATATTACACAGCATAATAGAATTCTTTTTGCTTGAATCTACTGCTCTTTAGATTTGAATCCGACTTGTCTCCTCTCCCAGAATCAAGGTTTATTTTCCAAAATTGAATACTATCAGTAAGGTGGTGTGTATACAGTNCCAAGTCAATGACCTGGTAAGAGCGAAATGGTAAGGCTTCGCTCTTATCAGTTACCCAAGGCATTGGCCTCATAAGGTGGTTTATTTTCAGTATAGTTTTCATTTAGTGTGTCAAGAAATTAATTATTTAATTTGCAGCTGGATTCTGAAAACTCATATAGGATGCTCCAGAGCAATTTGAAGAGTGTCTCAAAGTTTTAGCACTTCAGATCTTCCTATATCCCGTAATTAGAATCCTAGTGGTGACACTTTGAACTTTGAGTCTTCTCAGTGTAGTACGGGAAGTAAAAAGTCGGAGGTTCTAGGTGGGGGGTTTCCAATAGTGTAAGATCTTTCCCATATTAATATAATTTGAATGAAAGGGTTGAAAATGTGGAAGTATATTGTGTGGATTATTTCATTGTTGTATCACGTATTGATTTACGATGATGATATTCCAAATATATTCTGAAATAAAATAGTGTACCAACTTATTCTCATCGGTGGTGCAGGCGAATGCAAGATCAAAAGCAGCGTGGTCGTCTGTGGCGACATTAAGAATTATGAGGAATCAGATGACCAGAAATTTTGGAAACTCAGTTCGGTTAAATGAAGAAAGAGGGTGGATTATGAATTTCATAAAATAACTGCCATTTTTTTCATAGGTTTATTATTCAACCTTAGGTAAATATACAAAATTTTGGATGGATGATTTGACTGAGAATTGTGAGGTTCAATTGGGAAGATTGCCTAATTCTTTTGCCTTGATTAAATTCAATTAACATCACATCTTTGAATATGTGTTGATGATGATTTGATATTTTGTTTTGGACATGACATGATCTGTGGTTCTGATTTATTTATAATGTTTTTATAATTAGATAAAAGCTGTCATAGGCAATAGAAACTTTTGATTATTTGATACTGCTTTAAGTATGTCTAAGTAGGGGGCCCAGGCATTATGGAACGAAAAGGACACTTCATGAGGTTTTATTTCTACATTTTGGCCTGTCTTTTCCAGAAGTTGCAAAAATGTCCCTGAAGTTAAATGTATAATTGTTTTTACCCCCTTCACTTTTCTGGCTAAGTGACCGAGACTGATTGTAGAAATAAATTGACTGGATGTTTATCGAAACTAAGGTATTGTAGGGGAAGAAAATGGGGAATCTTCGTGGATGGGCTTTCACCAATCGAAGTTCCCCACATTTTGTAGGTTGAGAATCTTCTTTATTCATTTAAGATTATTCCATGAGATAAGTTCTTCGTTTGTTTTGTTCGACTCTTTGTAAAGATTCTAATTTGAACGAATCGGAAAAGAATCTTATCTAGATTGGCACTTTCTTGACTATCTAGGCGAAGCTTTTATCAACTTTCATCTATAAATTAGCTCAATTTTTATCAAAATTTATAAAAAAAAACTTTTTATCATGGAGTATTGTTCAGGATTCGGACCGTTCGGTCGATGGGCCAAATTCTATAACAATGCCCTTTTTCTTTCTAGGGAGATTTTGATAAAATTTAATAATATATGCATTTGAAAAGTTGATAACACTGTAAATTTTATGAAATATGTGGTCAAAAATAAGTTTGAAAAAAAATGATGTTTTTTTGAAAAGTGGGCCAACAAGGGGCTATAACAGTCTTATGTGAAAAAACGTGGTATATGGTAAGGGTAATTATATTCACATGAAAACTTTTATTTTTTGTACTGTATTTTAATTACATTTAGGTTTTATTTGATAAACAACTTTTTCCTTGGAAAATGGAAAAACTTTTTCATTTCCATGCAAAAGAAGTGTTTGGTGAGAGAAATTTGGCCAAAAAAAAATTTTCCACCCCCGCGCCCTCTTTCCTTGTTTTTGATGAGAAAAGTTTTTCTAGGTTGCTGCTCCCCCGCCTCCCTATTAAAATTTGATAAAAAAATGATTTTTTTAGAAAAAAATTTATTATTTTTTTATTTTTTGGCAATGGAAGCAAATTTTATAACCAATCATGGAAAAAAAAATATTTTAATGGACAATTTTCATGTAAAACTAAATCAAATGAACACAAAATTTAAAAAATTTTCACCCAGAAAATTATATTAATCAAGCACACTTAATTAACAATCCCTGTAAAACATTTTCTAGGTAATTATTTTTTTTGGAATTTATTTTATTTCCACCCATTTTCTATCATTGCAATCAAACGGACCCTTAAAATTTTAATTTTTGCGTATTATAGCACTTATATTCCTAATAATTTTTTATGTCGTTTCTTTCCAATTTCGAAACATGAAAACAAAATATTTTGTTATAAATCATCATCAAACATTTATCGTAATATAGAATTTGGACCCACACAAGAATTTAAAAACTATAAACGTTAATGTCAAACGTTATTATTGGTTAACTGTCACTCCCAAAATTATACGTTCTTTCACATGGAAATTTTCCATATGCTTAGTTTCTCTCACTAACCCGCTGCACGCAGCACGCGGAACCTCTGTTCACACTTCCTCTGTTCTTTTACCCGAGCTGACTGTGAGCAGAGTAGTCTCCCTATAAAGAGAGACTGAATAGTGTATGTTCAAGCCCCTAAATAAATGGCTCGCTGTATTCTGATTCTCTTCTTCACTCTACTCCTCCTCGTTGTCTCCGCCTCCGCGCACGGCGGAGATAATGACTCAGATTCCGACTCAGGCTCGCCGGTGGATAAGCCGAACCTGAGATCTCGGTCTCTGATTCTGGTGAAAATATGGTGCCTGATACTGGTGTTTGTTGGGACTCTTGTCGGGGGGATTTCGCCTTACTTCATGAAGTGGAACGAGGGCTTTTTGGTTACTGGGACGCAATTCGCCGGTGGGGTTTTCTTGGGGACTGCTTTGATGCATTTCTTGAGTGATTCTAATGAGACTTTTGGTGACTTGACTGAAAAAGAATACCCTTTTGCATTTATGTTGGCGAGTGCTGGATATTTGTTAACTATGCTGGCTGATTGTGTTATTTCTTATGTTTGTGGGAAACAGAAGAATGTTTCTGCTTATAATCACACTGAAATCCAAGGTATGTGATTTTTTTCTGCTGCTTACGTTGTTTGTATAGATATATGTATGCATCGGATTCATGGAAGAGATGAGAGATCAAAGAAATTTGTTAAATTTCGGATTTTGTAATTATTGAATTGAAGTGCAAGTTGGAATTGTATAGTGTCAAGACTATTGAGACCGTTTAGTAGGTCGTTTTGAAAATTTAAAAGCTGATTTTGTGACTAAGAAGCTGTTTTGTACATGTTTGGATAATTTTGTGGTTGAAGAAGAGAAGTAGAAGCGCGACCCAACGGGTCTTAAGAAGGAAATTGGATTCGTGGGCATGTTTGTTACACGATGTCGAGTTTTAGCTCTTTTTCTTCTTTAAGACTATTTGGTAGGTAATATTCAATATCCCCAACAAACATACCAATGCGATGCGAGAAGAATTTGATTGGCTTTTGAGCTAACAGAAAGCGTCCCACATCATGAAATTTTTGCTTTACGTCAAGATTGTTGGATAATTAATTTTTTTCATGTTTGCCTTTCAAGAAAATCATAATTACGTATCAAGCTTGAGTGAGAGCAATGCATTGCTTGAGTACAGATGTTCTATCTATTTTTCTTCGCCACTGCAGGTTCTCACGATGAAAAAGGCTCCGTTGACAGAATACCTTCCCAGTCGCAGTCGCAGGTAAGATAGCAGAGAGATCACACATATTCCTCAACGTTGCCTTGGTGTTCTTAGTGAATTTTGATTACATTTTTTTCTGCTTTCTCTATTAGGTTGAGACTGGCGCCGAAGAAAATCTTGCTAAACATTCCCTCACGAGTGCAACTTCACTCGGGGATAGCATCTTGTTAATTGTTGCACTGTGCTTTCATTCCGTGTTTGAGGGCATTGCGATTGGAGTAGCCGAGACAAGAGCAGATGCCTGGCGAGCCCTCTGGACCGTCTGTCTACACAAGATATTTGCTGCAATTGCTATGGGTATAGCTCTTCTTAGGATGATTCCAGATCGCCCCCTCTTATCTTGTGTAGCTTATGCTTTTGCATTCGCCATATCAAGTCCAATCGGTGTTGCCATTGGAATTATAATAGATGAAACGACGCAGGGTGCTGTAGCAGACTGGATTTACGCTATATCAATGGGTCTGGCTTGTGGGGTTTTCATCTATGTATCCATTAACCATTTACTGTCCAAGGGTTATAAGCCTCAAAAACCAGTTTCAGTCGATACACCACACCATAAGTTTCTGGCTGCATTGTTGGGTGTCGGGGTTATTGCTGTTGTAATGATTTGGGATACTTAGTTAATGCTGCATTTGTACGACAAGAGTCTGTACTTCCACTGATATTTTTTACTTGAGTACATGGTAATGTTCGATTAAGCAGTGAGTTCTGAGAGTGCACACTCAAATTGTTCTTAGTCCATGTTTGGCTAAGCTTAAAACAAGAGTTAACGATTATAATGTTTTAGACAGTTCTTATATTGCAATCGATGATGACACAAGGATAATAAAGATGGCGAAGGCATGGAACTGGAGACTTCCGAGCATACTTATGAAGTAGCACCAGCGAAAGTTGTGACCAAATATTAACAAAATTGAAGCACCTTGTTCCTTAACATAGTTGGAAGTGAGATAGATTTTATAATTGTACGAGGATAGTCGTAAATAAGGGTAGGTACTGGATTTTGTTGCCTGGGATTTCTAGGTGTAACTTATGCTGTCTCTGTCTGAACGAGTATCAGTAACCTTTACATTTCCATTAATGATCAAATTATATCTCAGTGCTTTCTGCTAAAGTTATTTTCATTTTGAGTCTTATAACCTTCTGGTTTTTGGGCAGTGGATCGTGAAATCTTGATGATCTTTGGCTAATGAATGAGGGTCATGTTAGTTCCCAGAACATAAGGCTCCGTTCTCTTTGTTGTTTTCAAGTCGTTTTCTGTTTTAAATTTTTCAAAACAGCGAAAACGCGTTATCTATCTTATTTTCGAAAACACGTTTTGAAAAATGAAAAAAAAGACAACTGAAAACAGAAAATGAGTAAAACATCGTTTTGGAAAATCATCCAAGAAAACAAGGAAAATTACAAAACACGGGAAACGAATTTCTCATTTCTCAACCCTCTCCCTCTCCCTCTCCCTTCCCCGACCCACAACCCCAAATCAATTTCCTCTCACAAACCCACAACCCAAAATCAACACAGATCCGGACGCCAAATCAAAGGGTTGTCTACGGGATCTTCAAATCAAGGTTTTGAGCTGGTTTTTCCGAATTGAAGGCTTCTCGACGAGCTGTTTGAATCTGAAAATCGTATCTTTTAATCAAGATTTTGATTCTTTGCTTGTGATAATCTTTGGTTATTTCCTTGCTATTCCATATCATAGTTGTTGGGTCCGATTTTGTCTCTGTTTTGTTATTTGTTTGGTGTAAAAATTGAGGCTGAATCTGAAAATTCTGCTCTTCAAATCATTGTTCTGCCCTCGTGTTGTAACCTGCGTCTTCTTCATGGATTGTGGAAAAGGGTTTTTTGAATTTGATGAGAAACTTGATTTGTTGAAAACAAGAATCAGAATGAACCTTTATCATCCGTGTATGCATTTCTACACAAACACAAAGATAACATGTTAGAGCCCAGAAGTATATACACATATATGATTTGTGGGAATTGACAACTATGACAATAGCGAATTTAATCAATTTTTGAAATCACTGGTTATTTGTTTTGATTTTGGGAACCAGTTTTGAAAGTATATATTTATCTTATGAGCTAAAGATTGATTCTGTTGAATATTTATTTATCATTTATAATGTTGTGTGGATGTATTTGTCAAATATAACTAGAACAATATACTAGTAAATTGTTGCCTAGATACCCCCAAAAATGAAAATATCTGGGGGCAAGCACTAGCTTGTGAATTGCTGGTTGCATAACAAAACTTAAAAGGAGGTTTGCATTTTTCCTTGCAAGCATTATGAAGTATACAGGTAAGGGAAGAGTGTGTCCATCTTCACAATGGCAGCATCTGATGGACACAAATATAGCAAATGAAAGCTTGATTTATATTTAATATTTATAATACAGCTTTAAGTCTTTCAATCTTGCCTCAAGATTCAAAACCGATGTGTCCTCACAGCAGCATGTATTAGTTCTAACTGAATTTTCCACAGTTCATGGAATAATGCATTGGTGGTCAGACATTAAGGGGTTGTTAGAATGTTTGCCGCCTCATTATTTTCCACAGTTCACTTGAAGCTGTTTGTTTCAGTTTGATGAATCTTTCTTCACGAGCTTCTGAAATCTTCAATTTGTGTTTCAATTTTTTGTTCTTTGCAAAGGATTGGCTATAGTATGAACATTATACCTAGTGCAGTTGTTAAAATAGATTTCTGATATAACAAATATTATTTCTTCTTGTATATGATATCATTTTGATTATTTTTTTAGGTAATGATATTGTTTCCTCGTTATATATTTGTCTAAGAAGAAAAAATGGTAGAAGAATTATTTTCCTATTTTGTTAGTTGTTATCTCACTATATCAATTGATGAGTTATCTCATTGGTGTCGACTATGATCTTTTGATAGAGAATTTTTGAAAGAATTGGCATTTTGCCTTGCGTGGGGTAGGGATTCGACACTTGAGACCACTACTAATCTAGTTCTTTCATTATATCGAAGGAAAAAAAAAAAAAATCACACGTGTCCAATTTCTAGTGAATTTTTTCCTACTTGGACCCACCGGACTTCCTTTGACTACTCGTGAGATACAGTGGAAACATTATGTTAGGGATCAAATTGCTACACACATGTGGAATAACTACTCAAGACGTCGTACATGTAANGTTTGATTGTGACTTGATGCTAGTTAATTCTTGTCACAAGTTACGTATAAGGACAATAACAAGTCTTGACAAATTTAATTTAGGTTGTATTTTTCATATCTATAAAAAAATATTTCAATATTCACTAATTTCAAAATTTATATGTTATTCAATATTATATTAACATTAAACAATTAAATTTTTTTTAATAATCAAATTTTTTTAATAAAATATTATTAAAAAAATTCTCAAAATTTCAAAGTAAACGCGTTTTCTATTTTTATATTTTCAGAAACAGTTGGCAAAAAGAACAAATTTACAGAAATTTCAAAACAGACACTCAAAACACAACACAAAATGAATTCAAAACTCAAAACACAAAACTGAAACACAAAGAGAACGGCCCCTAAGATTTTGGTTTCGTTTCTGTTTTGAGTGCTGTCCTAGCACTGAATGATCCCAAAGTCGCAACAAAACTAATCTGATAATGAATCTGATAATGAAAACTACATGAATTTGTTTTTCGACAAGCCTGCCTACTTCTGAATTGTTTGCCTTCAAGACTGGTAAAAAAACGCACGACTATAGTCTTAGCCACTGCTCTCCGCCTATGAATTGCGTGCCCAAAAATGGCTTTGCTTCCATGTAATTCAGAGCTTTAGACCACGGCACCCTTCGTCTTCTATCTGCTCCATCGCCTCTGCACTCGTATTCTCCAAATACCACAGTACTGCATGCACAAGATCCATTTACATATTAGAAATCTGTAATGTTTTTTCACTATGTAAAATAGATTAGATGAGAGATTTTAATACTTGTCTCTATATTGTTTCTTCCAGTCATTCCATCCTTCTGGTCTTACAATGTCATCGAATTCACAGTACGAATATATAACTCGCGAATAATCCCCCCAAGCTCTACCCAGGAAAGTTCTTCCTTTTCCCTTAACTGTACAGTTCAAGAAAGAAAAGCCTGTATCATCATTAGGAGAGTTCCTGTGTTGAGCTGCTACTGCATATCCATCCTCTAGAACATGTAGAGTACACTCCTGTTCAATTCAGCGTTATAAAGTCGACTCAGAAGAAGGAATTAATTCAAAAGTAAGAAATAATGAAAATGGTTTAATATATAAACCTGATAGAGAGATTTTGCATTGCCAAAAATAAAGTCTGTTGATCCTTGGATGAAACACTGGTAAAAATAGTGTGATCCAGTTTGATCCAAAAGCGTATCCTGTGATCCCAGAAATTTAACATTGTAAAACATAGCTTTGTCGCCAGCAATTCTTAAGGCAACAGCTTGGTATCCATCTACTCCTCCAGGCACTGCGCACACTGTATTCTGCCATAAACAAACATTCAAATTTTGAAATTTGATTGTTATAATGATGTTCAAGAAACCCAATTTACTGCAAATACTACCTCAAAAGTGATCCCTGTTGCAACAAAGTAATCAGATTCTATTGTGGCAGTGGCTGAATTAAAAGTCCCTAGTACAGCTCCATTTTCATCCCTATCAGAAGCCTTGTCGTGCCATGTTATAACTGTTTCAGATACTCGATCCTGATCTCCAATGAAGGAAATATACGGCTTAGAGGCTGGAATGTACACCTTTTCACTGCACGACGAATTGAAAATTAAGAACAAAATTACTTGGGATTTCCCTTTTCTGGGTTATATAGTTAAAATTTCATCACATTTTGTCCAAAATATGTAAAAGATTGTCAGTTACTCAGTTAAACCTTAAATCATGACAGGTAAGGCCCACAACATATACTTAACTTCCTCAATACCCACGTCCATAATCCTAGTACCCACGAAAGTAAACATTGCACAACTGCATGCATGAAAAATATTTTCTTGGTGTACAAAAAACGTAGAAATTTTCAAAAAATGACTCGTAAACACAGACCTGTAAACTCCAGGAAGAATGTAAATTCTCACTCTATCTGCATTATTTTCCGGCACCATATCAACTGCACCTTGAACTGTTAAAGAATTTCCCCGGCCATTTTTGTCAACCACAATAACCTTACTCCAATTCCCTTCATCTCTTATATGCAACCTGTAATCATCCACTTTCATGTCATCCCATGTAATATAATTCTTTGCATTGCTGTTTAACTGTGCGAAACTCGCTCGAATTCCATCATATGACAACAAAAAACCCAGAACCAAAGCACTGAAACTTAATAAATTCATTGCGAAAACGAGTTTTATGTTCTTTTATTTTTTTGCTAAAAGGTTCAAGACAGAAGAATTCTTGGAGTTGGAAGAGGTGGTTGAGTAAGAAAAAGGTGAAAGCAATAAATATAGGAGCGCAAGTGTTATGACTAAGCTTTTATGTTTCTTGCAGTTTCGAAAATATTAAGGTTAGTAAAGAAGTAATGGGTTACAAAGATGGAGTGAGAATGAGACGAACGGATTAGTATTTGAAAGAGGAAAGGTTAAGTCATGAAATTAATGCCAATAAAGAGGTGGGTTTAATTAATGGAGGGAGGGAGTTTTTTGAAAGGAAAGATGCACTGTTGAGGAGTAGTTATGAAATTCCAAGAGGTTTATAACGGTTTTACTTATTTCTAAACTCTTAAGCTGGATTTATTAACTGACATTTATCACATCTTAAGTTCTTAACCTGCAACTTTAATTAAGATTTTTTATAAAAAAAAATAAATAGAGAAATATAAGTCGAACGTAGAGTCATACCCAATTTGACTCACTCGAACTACTCGAGCAAGAAATGGAGAATTATATATGACTACTTCTATTATGTTTGTATCTCTTACCGAGATATATCGAGTTAACAAACAACCTCGCATAGAAAATGTGAAGAACGGATGGAAAATTATGAAAGCGGTTGACCTCAAAAAATGCGCGCCATTGCTGTCAACGTATGTTTGTCACATCCCTACCTACTTGTATATTTCCTGCACGCTCAAACACAAACATTTAGGCACCAAGATAACCAAATCGAGAAAAGGAGTCGCGGCTTTTAATACTCTAACAGTGAAGTCAACTGTCAGTATAAGAAATTTGGAGAATCAAGTGTCAAAAAGACAAGTAAATAGAGATTTGATTAGAATTTGGAGAATGCCTTTTCTTTTCTTTGCTTGTGAACTGTGGGCGGGCAAGCACCACAAGGATCGCAATTGTCAATCCCCTTGGCCGCATGATGTGGATTACATGAGGTTCAATCAAACTGAAATTGATCCTAAATGGAGAGTCGCGATGTACATAGCCCCTCCACCGTCGTGATCGCCTGAATTGAAATTTTGCAGAAGTTATTGAACCGGGGATCACACATAGAGGATTGCCCATACGTCAAAGAGTTGGTACGCTGACACGAGCCTCATGGTGCGAACACTAGAAATAGCACGATGCGATATATACGAAATGTCGATGGTTGCAACTAATTTGTTGTTGAGGGTTATGTGACATGGAAGGAAAAGATTAATATTATTTATAAGTACGACTTACAGACTAAGTTCGTTGTAATATAGATTATTGTTTATAAATCGTGCATACAATAATAACCATTTATTGATCAGCATCATCACATACACACTTTTTTCAAGGAAAAACAGGGATCATCTAACAAAATGCTATTTTGAAAAGGTAAAACGGGTGGGGAAGATTTTCTTTTCGAATTTTCATCTTATGTACATTTTTTTCGTATACTTTTAATTTGTGAAACCAAAGCACCATTAAAATTTAAAATGGAGGACTTCACATGCAATTTATGTAAAGTAAAAAAGGTCCAAAAGAAAGGCATTATTATCATTTACACCCTCGATAACTTCTGGATAAATGCGAGAATTTGCGATGCTTTCTCACTCTCTCATCCCCAAACCAAAACTCAAGACTCTAGATTGAGAATGGCTTCAGTTTCATTATCCTCACTGTCGGCACCATTTTTGCCCTTACCTAATTCCTCCATTTGTAATGGCAGACCCCAATTCTCCGTGCTTTCTTCGCCTTCCTCAAATTCCTCAAAGTTACATGCCCTGAAAATCTGTCGCGGTTCCTCTTCCAGAATTTTCGCTGTTCCTGAAGTTCTGGAGTCCAGTGTTGCTTCTGAGGTTTGTCGACTTTATATTTTGATTTAATAAATACCCTTTTTTTCATATTATTGAAATGATTGTTTTCTTGGGTTTTGTGGGTTCTTAGGATGAGGCCCCTGCCGCTTCAACGCTGAGTGTTGGTGCAGATTCTGATAAAGTAACTTCTCTTTTCTTAGTAGCTTCTGTTTTTTAAAAATAATATTGATTTTACTTAAATTACAGACTTACAGCAGTAGGATAAATTGGTTCTTGTGTGACATTGCATTTTAATAGCATTGCTACTGCAATTATCTACTTTATCATAATTACTGTGAGGTAGACCAGTAAAAATATAATGGATTTATGCAATGAAAGAGCTTCGACTGGGTGCTCTTCATGGATGTTGATGTTTTTGCCTTCGTAAGTTCGTATTAGGTACTGAATGAATCAGTATTCAGAGCAAAAGAATTGTCTGGTATATGAATTGGTTTCTAGATAAATTTTTATATTTCATCATGGAAGAAACTTTCATAGCTTTCAGATATTTCAAAGTCTCTTAGGGATTTATGGCGATTTTTAATAAATTTTTTGTGGCATTAGCATCCTAAGGAAAACTAAGAAGTGAATGTGACTAAATTAACTTCAATTAGGGTCATTTCGCAGGGCTTTTGCTTTTACTTCTTGTAGAAGAGCTTTATGAGAAAGTTACGTTGGGTTAACTTCCTCTAAAGGCTCTTCTATCCACAATGAAATTTCAAAAAAAAGCAATTTTTTAGTCTCAGAAGCAGCTTTTGACTTTTCAGAAGGCCCGCCAAACGGGCCCTTAGTCTTTACTAATTGTCAAGTCAATAGAGTCGGACCTGTTTACTATGTATTGATATATGACCACAATGTTAATTGAGGTGCCTGAAGAAACATTTATCAGATTTTTATATTCACTTCTTTAACCTTGAATATCTTGCTCTTGCTGACAATGCTGATCCCTTGTGTTACATAAACAATACTGAACCTGTTGTTCAATTTGAGAAATTTTCTTTCTTATTTGAAGTTAAATCCTTGTCCTTTCTAATTTTATATGCTTTAACTTGAATAATCTACCAAAGGATATTTTGGTTCTCAGATGGCGCCTAAGCAGAAGATTAGAATAAAACTGAGGTCTTACTGGGTACCCCTGATAGAAGACTCGTGCAAACAGATTATGGATGCTGCAAAGACAACGAATGCAAAGACCATGGGTCCGGTACCATTACCAACTAAGAAGAGAATATATTGTGTTCTCAAATCTCCGCATGTACACAAAGACGCCAGGTTCCATTTCGAAATTAGAACTCATCAGCGCCTTATTGACATTCTTTATCCAACTGCCCAAACAATAGACTCACTGATGCAGCTTGACCTTCCTGCTGGCGTCGATGTTGAGGTCAAGCTTTGAATGATAGTACCAGTTCCCTGCTTTACGTGGTAACTTTCAATTTCCCCTAGCCTAGGAAGTGAGACTCAAAGCTGAATTCAGGCAAATACTCAGTCGGATATAATTTTCTGTATAATAGTTAAAACTGTCGTGTTATTTTACTTTCCATAGATGTTACTCTGCCTTTGCAAGTAAATTACTATTCTGTCTTTTTGTTTATGGTCTACAATATTGTCTTTCATTGGGTATTTGTGTCCCCCATTGGTAACAGTATTCACTTGTGACCTGTGTTTTCCTGTTGAAACTTTGGGTAATTCCTCTTTTCAACTCCCAAATTTCCTTCTTTTTAATTTATTCCACCTATGCCGCGACCAGAACGCGGGAGCAAGCCCTTAAGAACATCAGGACAAGAGTATTTTGAGGTATTATATCAGCTGTAATTCCTTACTGCAACCAAAACAGTATGAACGCTTCAACTCATCTTCAAAGTAACCAAAAGAATTGTTAGGACCCTTCTTGCCTTTTCTGTTTTAACTTAGATATGCATGTATAACTGTATAAGGATGGTTTTGGATA